GCAAGGATTCCTCACTTCATTTCCTCCAAAGGAAAAGTCCCCCTGACAGACAGACAGCCACATAGGCCCCACATGGAACCCCCTCAGTCTGATACAGCCAGAGCTGCCGTGGCTGCAGCTTAGGAGGACTGCCTGAAGGAGGCCCTTGAGCTCCCTGAAAATCCACTTCGGGAGAAGAGCCTATAGTGAAAACTGGCCACATATAATCCCTTCCCAGACCCCGGAGATAGCTCTGTAACAATTTAGGTATTTGAATTGTTGAATTCAATTATTACCAGAGTCCAGATAGTCCTTTTATGAGACCCTAGCAGAACAACTGAATCATGTAATTTTGCTGGGACAGAGTCACAAGAAAACAAAATTCTTCCAGGTTCCTGACACAGTTGGCAGACTGTGCACAGTTGTGCACTCTATGTGGCAGAGTGCAAAAGTAAAGATGCCTTGGACAAAAGCCACATGAGAAAGAGGATATGATAAGGTTAGACTAAAGCTCTGCAGGGAGACTTCTTTTGCTCTTTGGATGAGATGGTGTTCTTTGGCAGAACACCAACACCTCTGGCCCTGAGATGAAGGTGACATGGGCTGGCTTTGATGGACAAACTAATAACCTGGCTTTTAGGCAAGGAATGTGCACCAGAAGAGTAAAACGGACTCAGAACAAAGCTGGGAAAAGTGAGGACCAAATAGAGATGGGAATAGCAGGGAGGGGCTTAGGGGCAAGAAGTGGCGGGGTCAGGGGTATCCTGGCAGGGACCAGAGCAAGACCAAAGGTTCAGAAGGCAGGAAAAGGTACTTGTGGGCATAAAAAACCCAAGGAAACTTTTTTTGACTAAATGAGAAGATGAATCCAGGGAAATAATAAGAATCCAAACAGAGCAGGTCAGAGAGGGGCAGCAAGGTAGGAAGAGGCCCCTGAAGGCCACATCAAAACACTCGGTTCAAATGCATAAACTGTGTAAACATATAAGAGACTCTTAGCAAGTATTGCTGGTGAATGGGATGGAGTTTATCCTTTCTCAGTCTCATGTCATCTGCTTTCTCTTGGACATCAGTCCTCCTGGTTGCCAGAGATTGAGCCCTCTGCCCAGGAGTAGGGATTCAAAGAGCTCTATCTCATACTGTTCTTAACCTTTCTGTCCTAGAGTTAAAAGCATGTAATAATCACATACAGTCTGGTGTGTACAGAGTTGAATTCTTATCTAGGGGTAAATGCTTAAAAATAATATTTAATACCCTAACAAGTTTACTTGCAAGAATTAGTTTTCTATTTTAAAATATCATGCAAAACAAACTGACTTTTCCCATGTAAAACTAAAAAGATGAGTGACTCCTCTTATAAAACTCCCTTAAAAAATTGCACACCTGTCCAAGCTCAAATAATGGGATCATTTAAAGAAAATCTAGTAAAGTTAGTCAGAGATCAATACCCCTATACATGAATTATCTAGAGTTACTCTGTGACCTGGACAGATAGGCAAGGCCTCAAACCAGTACCAGGTACTTAAGGCGGCGATGTGCTCACTTGTGGTTTTGTGGTCTTCAATTGTCTTGCCAGCCTGGATGACTCTAGCTGGTCAGGGACCAGGTGGTGACAGCTTGCTGCCTGGCTCAGCAGAATCCAGCACAGGAAAGTCTGCGCCTTCCAGAGGTGCATTCCCTGCTGACATCTCACTACTGCGGCTGTTCCTACCCTTCCAGGGACTGGACCCAAGACCTTGACCAGGCATATTTTCCGACTGATGAGCACTATTCTCTGGCTAATTTAATTTGTGATTCAGAAGGAAAAGGCAAAACTTTATATTTTTGTACAATACCAAAGGGAAGCAATTTGATGATATAATGTATGGTGTCATGGTCACTTGTGTCCTTCTGGCCTATAATGTCTATGGATCTCATACAGATGTTTTTCAAGGCTCCTCATCAAAGGACCCAGCTTGCATCCGGCCACCTGGCTCACAGTTGGCATGTAGTAACTGTTCTGCCATTTGAATAAAATAATGGTGGGGTGTTAGAGGAAACTCAAGCTCCCAGGAAGAGGCCATCTCTAACTGAAGCTGGAAATCTACTACACATATCCAGCAGAAGGTGAGAGGCTGGCCCCACGCAGTCATGTAGGCATTGACTAAAAGACAGAAACAGTGTCCTCAGAGCTGGCTAACCACAGTGATAGCTTGACTGTGGAGGGTCACAGAGGGGAGAGAAGGTCATGGCTGGAAAAGGGTGTGACCACTAAGGCAGCAGGAAAGTTTGGAGGGGCACAACTGTTGCACAGAATGCCACTCCACTGCCCTGCTCCTGGAGTTGCAGGTGTAACCACAGCACCCACCTCCCTGCCAACCTTGGGCAGAAAGGCAGGGGCTCCAAGGGACACTTCCCAGTGTCTCTCAGATATGGAAGCAACCTCAGGACAAACCAGGTCTGGATTCTTCAGGTGAAAATCCTTTCTAGGTCAGGTATCCACAGCCATAGGGTCACATCCCTCTTAATCCGCTAGGAGAAGATAAAGTGACTGAACACCCACCTAATCCTGGAAGTTCATAAACAGGGGCAAAGCCCAGAGCTAACAGTGCACAGACATGTGAATAGCAAAGACCTGGCAGCTGCCCACAATCCAAGAGCCAGGAAGAGGCACAATCAGGACCTGACCGCAGGCCCTATGCAGATACAACTGCTCACTCCCCAAGTAACACTGCCCTGTAGGATCACTTCAGGTAACAAACCAAGGTCAGGGAGCTCACCCAAAGTGTCTACCCGACTTCACAGCCCTGGCTACTTTCTTGCCACTAGGACTTAGAAGAATCTGTCCCTGCTCCCATACTACACTTCTCCTTTGGAAGCCTACAGGCTCTGCTTCCTGATGTCACTCAAATCTGTTCACCCACAAAGTGATCTTTCCAACACTGAAGTCTGTGCAGGATTCCTCAATGACTTTGTCTTCACTCCCTACTAGAACTCTCACTTCTAGCCTCCCATTCACCTCTGCAGCCTCATCTCCCTTTGCTGTCAGTACAGCTCTCAAAAGAGATGGGTTCTCCCTTCTTCTACCATTTTGTCCTAAAAACGATTCTTCCTCTGTTAAGGCACCCATTTGATAGGTAGGTGGCTGAAACCCTCCACCGCAAAGAATGGCCAAGGCCCAGAGAACCTGAGCTCTCGCCACAAATGGCCACTGAATCAGTGCATTAAAGGACAGACTGCTGAATGACAGCAAGCGCTGAGGCCCAGCCCTCTAGACCCTCCAAAATGCCAACACCAGGACCAGACAGGTGTCCTAGAAAAGCTAATATCCACTGCTCTTTTCTAGCACTGGTGCGATGGTGCATTACTTAAAATAGGTGCCTCTTTACAGGAATCCCATAAACGTGGAAAATCGCAGCTGGCTATATAAATTAGTACTCCCTCCAGTTTAGTCTACCCCTCATTTCTTGAACAGCTTAAATCCTCAATGAAAACTTGACACTTGCCCCCGGCCCAGCGAGGGCCCCAAACGTCCAGGTCCACAGTACCTCGAGGCCGCCAGAGGGGCACAGCCTGGCTCTAACGCCTCTTGGGCAGTCCATTTCCAAGGAAAGGAACTGAACAGGCCCACAGTCCGGAATATCTCTTGTTCCTTAAGAGTTTTCCTGGAGTAATCTTTACCCAGCAGGACGAGGAAGACACCGCCCCTCGAGAGGCCGGCTGGCAGGCAGGGATTCCCTTCTTCCTTTAAGCCTTCATCACCCTCTTCCCGGGGACCACAAGAGCCCGGCCTGAGGCGCTGGACCCTCACCTACAGCCTCCCCTCCCACCCTCACGGCCAGGCTGCCCGCAAACCTCGGAGGCCACTCAGCCCAGGAGCGACGGTCCCGCCCACTGCCCCCAACTCTTAACTCTGAAGACCCTGGAACGGCTGGACCGGTCCTGGAACCGCGGGGGTCAAAGTGCGCGTTCTTCCCCACCCCACCCGGGAAAAAGGCAGAAAGAGTCTAGCTGCAGATAGGACCCGGAGAGCGCGGGCGGGGCGGTCCATCCGGCCAGGGGCCGGGCCTTGGCGGTCGCCGGGGGGTTACCATCCCAGCCAGGGGCGCCGTGGGACGCCAGCGGTGGAGAGGAAAGAGCACCTCCCCTTCCCGCTCCGGGCCTCGCCCGGCCTCTGGGCCCCGAGGCGCAGCCGTCCGGAGGGAACGGAGGCTCGGGAGCAGACAGGAGAGAGGACACTTACTTAAAAGGCTACATAGTTTCACTCTCTGCCTTTCCCGGAGCGGCGACGACAACTCCCTGTCCCTGGGACCTAGCCTCAGGACCCACCACCCCAGCGGGCGGCCCCACTCCACCATCCACTCTCTTACTCCACGGTTGGGCGGAGAAGCACCTCAAAGCCCCGAGTCAGCCCAATAAGCGGCCGCCCTTACCCAGAGTGACGTGCGCACAGAGCAATCATTAAGTCCTCCCAGCCGTGGGAGGGGCTCAGGAGGCACACAGCGCTTCCTACTCAGGTTGGACAAGCCCAGAGCTGTCGACTGCGCGTGCCCGGGACGAGAGAGGGCGGGGCCGAGAGCATCTCTGACACTAGGGAAGGGGTGCAAGTCTGGTCTCTGGGAAGCCGACTGGACGGAGATGGGGAGACCCTGGAGCCATGCTTCCCCATGGCTCGCCCTTTACTGCTAACTTTGGAGTATGGAGGTGCCCAGGCCTACGAAGTACACCAGTTCCGTCTCGGGCAGAGGATGGGAGTCATTGTCCCTAGGTTCTAGTCCCCTCACTTGCATGGATGTCCAGTGGCCTAAGCCCCCCGCCTTTTCTTTACCAGGGCATCAGTTTTCCCATTCGTAAAATTGAGGGTTAGGTCTGCTGAGCGCTACTATTCCAGAACTGCAATGGGGTGCAGAGGAGGGGGCGATGGGGACCTACACGTGACCTCCCTACGCTGGGCCCCGCCTATCCCTTGTCTAGGGGATGCAAGCGCCCCACGGGGACGCGCGGGAGTGGGTGGATCCTTTAGAAACATGACCCGACCGCCCTTGGCAGCGGCTAAGGCGGAGCGCGCAGCTCGCGGGCTAGCCCTGGCAACCGCACCAGAGGAGGATGGGGACCGCAACCCCGGCTTCGCGCGGGGCCACCGCGAAGGCCAGAGCGGTGCAGAGACTTATCGTGTGACTGGGAGGATGGACGACAGGACGGGAGGCAGCTAACGGGGTTCCCTCTCCGCTCCCGGTCCTCGGAGGCTCACATCGCAGGTCCCGAGTGGGCTCCGACGACAGCACTGCAGCGCGGAACTAATCTTGGGCCAAGATGAGAGTGCCAGCGGCCCAACCCGGGGCCGTGGTCAGAACTGGCCGCATTCTGCCGCGCTGAGGGCGTGAGGCTGAGAGGGGCGCAGGCAACCAGGTTGTGCTTGAGCTCACTGACATGGTGAGGGAGGAGTGCAAGGCGCTGCTGGACGCGCTCAACAAGGCGACCGCATGCTACCACCACCTGGTGCTGACCGTCGGCGGCTCGGCGGACTCGCAGAACCTGCGCGAGGAGCTGCAGAAGACGCGCCAGAAGGCGCAGGAGCTGGCGGTGGCTACCGGATCCCTCCTGACGACCGCGCTGCGAGACAAGCACCTGGGCGCAGAGGAGCGCTCCGAGTTCCAGCGCCTGTGGGTAGCCTTCTCTGGCTGCCTGGAACTGCTGGAAGCCGACATGCAGCGAGCCCTGACGCTGGGCACCACGTTCCCACTGCATGCCCCACGGCGGCCGCTGGTGCGCACTGGTGTGTCCGGCGGCTCTGCTAGCGTAGCGGCACGCGCCCTGAGCGTCCGCAGCCTGCGGCACGAAGCAGAGCCGGACTTCGACGTGGAAGATCTGCGCAAGCTGGAGCGGGAGATCCTTCAGGTGGGCAAGATGATCCACGACATGGAGATGAAGGTCAACGTGCCCCGCTGGACAGTGCAAGCCCGGCAGGCGGCGGGTGCCGAGCTTCTGTCCAGTGCTGGCGCCTCCACGGCCGGCTTTGTGTCCGTAGAAGAGCGCACAGGGCCGTGCGACCTGAGCAAAGCCCTGGCTGCCACAGTTTTCAGCGCCGTGCTGCTGGCGGCTGTAGCCCTGGCGGTGTGCGTGGCGAAGCTGAGCTGACCGACACCCGACGGCCCCCGCCTTCACCACTGCTCCTTCCCCAGAGACACCCCTTTCCCAGAATGACCTCTACCACCAGGACTCAGGATGGGAGTGGAATCTGGCGTGGTTAAGAGGAGCGGTCCTAAAATTCTGTGTATGTAGGTGTACACGCGTGTTTCAAGCACACATCTGCCATCAGAACGTAGTTCCCTCTGTCTGGACGGGGAGGAGTTAATTTTGTGTGGGCTGGCAGGGCATTACGGCTAACGTCCGCAGGAGCTTTATCGCTTTATCCCCTATTAATAGAAAACCGTCCACAGTGACCCTAGATTCCTCTGAGTTAATGGGTTACCGCCTGTGCTGCTGGGGCGTGTTTATACTGAGTCCGGGCTTGGTGCCACCATCCCTGCTAACGACTCCTACTCTTTGCATGGGGCAGTTTGAAAAAGGGGTTGATGAAATCAAGTGTGGAACTGTTTTGCGGGGACAGGGTGGGGGAGGGTTCTTCTGAATGAGAGGCAGATTGCAACAAGATATAAAAGCAGGGGTTTTGTTTGTTTTTGTTTTACCTTAATCCTTTGGGGCCTAAATTTAGGAGAGTGCAAATAGAAGTTCATGCAAAGTGCTTTCTCCATGGCTCACGATTGTGCTTCTTGACAGAGCTTACCCATTAGTCACCAAAATAAGAAGAGGTTTGGGGTGGTGCCCTCCCTGGCAGGGTCTGATTCTGCTTAGGAAACCAGAAAGGGGCCATAGAACCTGCCTTCAGGAGACTGAAGCCACTGCACACACTGCCTATTTAAAAGGGCTCTCTGCCAGCCTGGGAGCGGTGCAAGCTTTGGGAAGGGCTGCATGCTATTTAGGCAGGGACTTTCTCCTTCCCTTTGTCTTATTTTTGTTCCAGAGCTAGACCAGAGTTTTTGATCCTTCTTTTGGGGGAGGGCTAGGGAATCCTCTTCGGAGCCCTTAATCTTATCTATCCCTCGGAATTTGCTTGGCAGCCAGTAGGAGGGCTAGCTTTGAAAGGAGCCTCACGGCTCTCTGACCTCAACACTGCCCCCTGATGGAGTATAGTGGCATCACTGTCACACAGAGGTTTTGAGCCAATTAGCCAAGTCTGGGTTAGACTGTTAGACTGTTAGACCTTTAACTTGGAATGTAAGAACCGTTTTAAAAATAACAATCATTTTAAAGAAAAATCACATAACCACATTGTGTACTATCAAAGCTGTTTTTTTCCCTAAAGGACATTTGGCCACGAATATATGTGCCAATGAGTCAAACATAGCAGTCTTAAATACTTTGGTTACTAAATATACATCTGCATCTATTTTTAAAATTGATCTTGAAGGCAGAAGGTCATAGCAAAAACTACCAAAACCATAAGTGTAGACAACAGAAGTGGTCATTGCTTTAATTTTTTAAAAAAAATTATTTATTGATTTTAGAGAGGGGAAGCAAGAGAGAAACATCAATTTGTTGTTCCACTTATTTATGCATTCATTGGTTGTTTCTGTATGTGCCCTGACAGGAGATCAAACCCCCAACCTTGGCATACTGAGACAATGCTCTCTGATCAACTGAGCTACCTGGCCAGGGTGGACCTTACTTCTTTTGTCTATAAATAAGGAAATGTAGAAAACACCCTGGGTCTCAGGCTGGAATTTGCTTGATCAGGGCTGCCACCTCCTATCTGTTGCAGAGAGTGCATCTGCTGAGAAAAAGATGCATTTAACTCCCTAAAGGTAATAATTTGGAATAAAACTCAGAGGCTTTGGTTTGGCTGAAAACTGACAAGAATTTTTTTTCTTTTTTACCTCAGAAGTGAGTAAAGGTGCCAGGAGGAGTGAATTTGCAGCTTTTCACAAGGGCAGCTTGGAGGGGCAAAGGGCAGAAGCAAATAGCAGCAGTAGTGCTGGCCAGGCACTCAGCATGGACTGAGGGCGTACTTCCAGCCCCTGCCCCACCAACTCCCACTCCTCCTCAGCACACAGGTTCCAGGAACTTAGAATGTGAGATGTTTGCAACGAGTCTGTGATAATGGTTTGAAAAGACTCACAAGGTCTTAGGCTGATTATAAGTTTTACGATAATTAAAAGGAGCTCCTCCCTCATCCAATCTGGGTGAATCTGATAGCAACCAACATTAAATTCTTTTGCACTTGATGGCCAGGGTACCTTCAGAGATGGCACAGAAAGTTTTCCAACTCCCCTATGCCCCTTCTGGTATACATACAACATGACATGGAACCTCTGTCACCTCCCCAAAGTCTTGTCTCAGGGAAGAGGAAGCTGGGGTAATTTTTTTTGACCCAGTATTGGTAAATATCCCTAAAAACCAATCCCTGAATAGATTCTCCTTTTTCTAGCACTGTGGCTCTCTGTTCTTTCTAATTAAATTTATTGATTTTAGAGAAGGGGTAAAGCAGAGATAAAAACACCAATTTGTTGTTCCGCTTATTTAGGCATTCGTTGGTATGTGCCCTAACTGGGGATGGGACCCACAACTTTGGTGTTTTGGGATGATGATCTAAGCAACTGAGCGACCCAGCCAGGGCCTCTGTTCTTATCAAGGTGTTTTGTTCATGGAAAAAAAAATTGTTCAGGCCCCAGCTGGTTAGCTCAGTTATTTAGAACATCCAGATATGTCAAGGTTGTGGATTTGATCTCTAGTCAAGGCACATAGAGGAGTCAACCAATGAATGCATAAATAAGTGGAACAACAAATTGTCCCTCTGTCTGTCTGTCTGTCTCTCCCCTCTCTCTCTCCCACATACACACTCTCTCTCTCCCAAATCAATAAATTTTAAAAAGGGAAAACAAAAATTTCAGCAGAACCTGCTAAAGAAACAGCTAGCCCACTAGAAGTTGTGTATGTAATCCATAGGGAGCAGTCCGGACAGTTTTCTTTGCTGTTGCTCCTTCCCCCGACCTAGGCAGACCCTTGGGCATTTACGTATACATGTAGTCAGATGTGCACCTGATTCCCAGAGTCCTCTGCTCGTGGACATTAGTGGTAAGATGCTGCAACAAGAGGCTGGATTACAATAAACACATTTATCCTGTAGATGTGTTTTGCCATTAAGGGGCATGTATGAGGTCGGGGCCACTTAATTTGGAGGTTCAGATTTGCGGACAATAAAAACCCAAGTCAAAGGTCAATAACTAAGCACTTTATTAAGCAAGAGCAAAGCAAAAGCAAGAATCAAGATCGTACATCACCAGATGGGAATTCACCAACACCTGGACATAGATGCTGGGAATCCCAGAGACAACATTTGGGATCTGACTGGGAAAGTGCTGAGCAAAGCATCATTCTCTCAGGTGAGGTTCCAAAGTTTCGCTTTGGGGGCTATGGTTAAATATGATTTAAACAAAAGTGGCTGCATGCCAAGGACCTTGTGTGACTTGACTAATCAACAGGTCCCTCTGGGAGATGGGCCAGTTCTCCCTGGGAGAGAGCACACCTATATTTCATTCTTACAATAAAGGTCATGGGCTCAGGCATAAACAGGGAGGATTCTCAATGTCCCTTTAACACATCACTTGTTACCCTAAACAACTCTGAGTTTGAATTTTTAAAAATATTTTTTGTGAGTATGTTTATTAATCTGGGGACAGTGAAACAAGGAAGGGCTTAGGGCAGAGGAAGCAACAGGAGAGCCTGGGCTGGGCTGCCTGAGCTCACTGGGGAGTCAGGAAATAGGGGCTGTGCAGACAGATTCATAGGGTTAGCTGAGGACAAGCTGCTGCTGCCCATTGCTCCCCTGGGTGCAAATCTTGTGGGGTTCCTTGGAGTTTAGCAGATGCACACCTGAGAGGGAAGAAAGGCATGGGCGTCCTCAAGGGAGGGAGAGCATGCCTGAAAAATTTAAACATTAGTAATATTTGGCATTATTTGTAGTTATAACATTGTCTAATAGAACTTTCACTCTATGATGCAAGCAAAATCACTTTCTGTGTGAGCAACAGCCTGCTCTCTCTAGCTTTCTGCTCTCATTTCTATACATAATTCAAGAAATTGCTTTCTGGTAGAAGCCTGACTTAATTTAGGTGTTTGATATCAGTTACTAATTTTCTAAAAAAACACATTTGGTATGATCTTATACCATGATACAAGTGATAGAAAAAAAAGAAACAAAAGTTCAACATGTTTAATATAGGATATAAATGAAGAGGTCAATGTTGAAGTCTATGGAAGAGAACATCCACTTCCCCAAACTGAAGGTATAAGTTAAAGGTGAAGTTAAGTACACGTAGAGAGAAAACACCCCTGGCTTCTCTTCTGGGGACAACAGTGCTGCTTTACGTGCCACTGGGAAGACAAGCGCTTGAAATGTCAAGACTCTTATCATGGGAACTTTGAACCATTGCTATTGGTTAAAAGAAAAAATGTTTGTATGAGAAAAAATGCCTACTGGCAATTTTTTATGTGCTCTAAGAGCTTATGCTTTTAAATGTCATAAGGGAAAATATTTTTGGTAAATAAAAGGAGAGCATAAACTTCATGATTTACCTAAGGTTTACAGTAAGCTTCATATGGGATGTGTGATGTTGAATGACTAAAAAGTAGTTCTGCTTGAAGAGAGTTCTGGTTTGCATGCGGATTCTGATGATGCTGCGTTTTTCTTTTCAGTGTGCACATGGGTATGTTTTTAGTTACTTGGTTGCTTTCCAGAATGTAGTTCTCTGTTCTGTACTGAGTGCTTGTAAGGGTGCGAGCCTCAGAGTGTAAGTCTTTGCGTCATAGACACAAAGTGCTGCAGGACTGGCCTCTGTATTCTTTTAGTTCAGGCCTCCTCCGAGGCATGACCAGCTGCAGTGGGCAGGGGCTCTGCCTCCCTCTCCAAGTACCTCGGACAAGTCACTGACCTCCCTGTGCCTCACTTGCCTCACTTGTGAAACGGGGGTTCCTTGCTAACTCAAGGTCCCTTCCAGAGCTTAAAACATTTAACAGAATGCAGTTAAACAAGAAAGGGTTATTTTGTTTGTTTTTTTTTGGATGTTGTTTGTTTTGGTGAATACTGAAATGGAATCTTACAGTTTGTTGGTTATTGTGTAAAACTGGTCTGTTGGTAAAACTGCAAGTGAATTTAAAAAATCTGAATGAACTAAGCATACTGTGATTTTAGTCCACATCAGAATTAGTGGATGGACTTAGAAGCAAATTTGTGTAAATGCTACTTATTTATAGTACTTACATTAGATTAGGAATTTACATTCAGACCCTAAGTCTAAGTCCAAGAAAGCCTAGTATTTAACAGCTTGTTGTACCCAGGAGGTGGACCACCTGAACTGATTCTGGGGAATTACAGATGTGAACACCTGTCCTTTGTCATAGAGGCTGGGAGAATCCTGTTCTGTAAGTCACCTGGTGCCCTCAGCACTGTGACCATATTTGCTGGCTGTCTGCTGTCTGGGAATGTCCGGGAATGGCTGTCATCAGATCTAAAGTGGAATGAAGAGCTTTGTGTCTACTGTTTGAATGATACTTCTAACTAAAATGTTTACTAATAAGCAAAAAATTAAAAATAACACATAGCCTTTACAACTTTGTTGAAAAAGCCACCCTCAAATGATTCAGCTTTCAACTATTGTGATTTTTTAAAAACTTATTTTTTAAAAAAAGATCTTATTTATTTATTTTTAGACAGAGGGGGAGTGAGGGAGAGAGAGAGAAACATCAACGTGTGGTTGCCTTTCATATGCCCCCTACTGGGGACCTGAGCTACAACCCGGGCATGTGCCCTAAACTGGGAATAGCACCAGTGACCCTTTGGTTTGCAGGCCGGTACTCAATCCACTTAGCCACACCAGCCAGGGCTTAAAAAATATTCATTATCTTCTTCATGCACATTTGAATTGAAGAGAATGTCCTGATCAACATATTTACCCTTCACAGATTTCATTACACAAAGAGGTGTTCAGAAATACTTCAGCATTATAAATTTCCGAGTGCTGCTCTACAAAGTGATTATACTCACCTTCTTTCTTTTGGCTGTGGTCAACACAGGTCAAAGTCATATTCAAATATCGTTTCTTTGGCTCTTGGGGACAGGCCAAAAGAGAGGGAGTTGTCTACATGCTGTGGCCCTCTCCATGAGGACTAAATAGATTTCTGGAAAAGCATTCTTCTCTTTCATTTACTTATTTTATCTCATTCCACAGAGGAGTCTTTCATTGTAATACTAGCAGATCTTGGGTATCCTTGTTCTTTGGTGTGTATGTATACAATTGTATAAACTTAAGGCTTATATAACAAATGTAAATACGCCAAATGAGAGCTCCTGTTGGCAAACTGATTTTGAAAAGTCCTTTTAACATGCTGTTGCCAGAAGGCAAAGTTGAGTGTCCCCGCTTGTATGTGTGAGGTTTGTATATAGAGGAAATCTTCAAGGAAATATTTGTTAAGGTGGTGGGATTATGATGGTATTTATTCAGCATTTTTATTTAGTATTGTTATATGTTTTTTTACAATAAAAATATGAATGCTCTTATCACTTAGAAAATGTTATTGTTATTATAATATATTTTCTATACTTAGGATCTCAGTTATAACAAGAAACAATTTCAGAATGTTCCCTCCACCCCTGCTCCAAAGCAAAGCAAAATACTTCTGGAATTGTACCCCAGAGAATCAGAAGCACACTGTGAAACATGGTTTCAAGACATACAGGCTAAGAACACTGCCTGTCGAGCAAGGTACATCTGAGTTCTGATCTGACTTCCTTGAAGTTCCTTCATCTCTGTGACCTCAGTTGCCCATCAGTTGCAATGGGAGTAATAACAGGGTAAACTTCATGGAAGTGTGGAGATGACTTTTTCTAAGCACAAAGCTCAATAAATGCCGGCTGCCACTGCTGCTGCTGTCTACCATACACTTTGGAAAACCAAACAGTAGGATGGTTGCCAAAAGAAAAATCTGCCAAAAGTCAGTTTAAAGATTAAAATTGGAAGAACTTGTCAAATGAGAGAAGGTAGGTAGAAAAAAGGTCAAGGCTACAGAGGGAAATCCAGGTTGATGTAGAAGTTGGAATCCATATATTTATAGAGTCAAACTTAGGTATAATTTAAATACAGCAGTTCTGAATTTTGACAAACATATACAATTATATAACCACCAGCCCATGCAAGTTATAGAATGTTTCCTTTAGCACCTAAAGGTCCCCATGTAGACAACCCTTTCCTCTTACCTTAGGCTCTGGCAACCACTGCTCAGATTTCGGTCCCTATACTTTTGCCTTTTCCAAAACATCACATGAATGGAATCCATACATTTTTGAGAAAACAATGTTGTGGACCTTTTAAAAACTCTGATAAGTGTTTTACATGGTGATTCTTGGTGCACAAGATGTTACTGGCCATTCAAGGTGAGTGATGTTTCATGGCAGTGATATGCCTTGGTTTCTAGGCAGATGGAACAATCTCTCCTGTTATTATTGAATCTCCAAGCCAAAGTCATTTCTCCATGGGTAGCCCTGCAGAGCACATTCTCTTCCTTTCTTTTCAACTGAAAAAAAAACAAACCCTGATAAATAATGGATAACAGAAATGAATTTGGGCTGGCTGAATGAGCAATTGAAATAAAAGGCCTCTTGGAGCTGTAGGTAAGAAGCAATATGATGACATGTTTGTAATGCTTTTTTTCAGGATTATGATTGTTCTAATAAATTAAAAAAATTTCTAAAGAAAATTCTCATTGTAAAGATAGCTGGGGAGGATAGTTAGAATATACGAATGAAGTCAACTTTCCTTAGCTATGAAATAAGCAATTTTGTTAACAAAGTTACTCCTTGTCTTGTGACCACAGGGGACACAGTAACTCCTAGAACTAGTAGGGGGTGGCAGATAACTGAGGTTATGAGGCAGAAGATAGTGAGCAAGGAGGAAACTCCAGAGGTGCCCCAGGGCTAAGGTAAAGGTCATGGATACACGACAGAGATACTGTTCTAAGACCAGCTGTTCTCACTTTCTAGAAAAGTGCTGAATCATGGTGACTCATGAATGCACCTTCGGAGAAGCTGCTACATGACCCCTGTTTCATTATAACAAATTAACATTGTGTAACCCCTTCCCTGGTAGCTGCTGATCAAGGAAAATCATGGGGTACCACATGCCCAGTAGCTTTAAGGTAATATAACTAATTGAACATGCATAATAAAACCCTTACAAAACTAGCCAGGAAATATTTGCCCTATAAAAATAGAATTCCGGAGGAGGGGGAAGATGGTGATGAGGTAGGAGGGAGCAGATTCGACCTCTCCCTACACATGGGAAAAAAACCTACCCAATCTATGAAGGAACAGAGCAAATAGCCAACAGTACTCCAGCACATATGAAAATAGGAGACCAAAAATTGTAGTGGACATTGAAAAACTAGATGAGTAGGTGGAAGCTGTGAACACCAGGATATCTGCAGGAAAAGGAAACCCAACAACAAATGAACCACCAACAGAGAACAACAGAAGGACATAAAGGAGGGAGTGGAAGCCACACTAACCTCAATCTAGGACCTATCTGGAAATACAACTAAATAGTGGAGAAATTACCGAGAACAAACAACTGAACAAGACCAAGAGAGAATCCTCAAAACCTTGTACTCATGAAAGAAACAACTTCAAAACAACCTGCCCTCACCAGCACAACAAAATACAAGGGGTGGTGAACAAAGTGACCCTCAGTTAATCAGCTAATGGGAAGGACCCACCAAAGAAAGACCCAACAACAATAAAACCCCAAAACAGAGACAACTTAAACAACAGCCCAAGACCAGTGAGCTTGGGAGATCAAGGAGACTGCACCACTGAATCTCACAGGTTTTCTACCACAGAAATTCACACCATAAACCCCGGGAGCCAGAACAGACCAATTTAAGAAACAGAGGCTAACAAAAACGTCTCACAAACAACAGGAAGACAAAGGAACAATCCCCAAATGAAAGGAAAGGAGGGAGCCTCAGAAAGAATGCTAAATGTAATAGAGGCAACTCAAATATCAGATGTTGAGTTCAAAGCAATGGTTATCAGAAAGCTAAATGAGCTCAAAGTGAATTACCAGAAACTACAGGGAAACTAGAATGAACTCACTAAAAACTATATCAGTATGGAAAAGGAAATAGAAACTATCAACAAGGGCCAAGAGGAAATGAAGAATACAGTTTCTGAACTGAAGAACACAGTAGAAGGAATGAAAAGCAGGATCGATGAAGCAGAAGATTGGATCAGTGAGCTAGAGGACAAAGTAGAAGAAAACACCCAGAAAGGGCAAGAAAAAAAAAGAGGCTCAAAAAGAATGAAGAGGGATTAAGAGAAATGCAGGACAATATGATAAGTAATAATATCCATATAATAGGGATACCACAAGGAGAAGAAGAAGAGCAAGGGATAGAAAACCTATTTGAAAAACTAATGATGGAAAACTTCCCTAATTTGATAAGAGAAAAAGTCACACAAATCCAGGAAACACAGAGAGTCCCACATAAGAGGAACCCAAAGAGGCCCACTTCAAGACATATC